ACCAACTGAGCCACCCAGGCGCCCGTAGTACTGACTTCTTAAACAAGACTTTCAAACACTCCTCCACTCTTCAGCCCTACTCTTTATTCCTACCTTCAAAGGTTGTATCTTTAATCGGCACCTCAAATTTCTGAGCCTTTCTACAGTTTCTCAGGGTAAATGGACTTTCTTCTTGTTGGCTCCTTCTTCTGCAGGATTCAGAATTCAGTAATATCTACTCTGTAAGGTCAGTCAATGCTCAACTAGCCATTTTCCATGTTCCAAGAATTTGTCACCTCTCTGCTCTCTTCATCTGTTCCCTTAACTTGTCCTTGGGTATTTGTGCTCTTTTAGATTCACTTACTGTTATTTTAAGTGGTTGCAGAAAGGAGTGGAGAAAAATAGGCCTGTTCAATATTCCATGCTGAACCAAAAGTCTTAACTTGTTTATTTGTATGCATCCCAGCTTAGCATTAATATTTACTTTTAGGCTACAACAATTATCTATTCCAGTGACCTATTTTCTTGTTATTGCTTTTGTTCTTACTGAATTTTCTGGTCTCAATAAAAAGAGGAAAACTGCCACTGGAAAAGGCAATGGCATGTATCCCTAAAATATACACATCATCATCCTTTCCCATCATCACCATCGTCATCATACTTACTGAGTTCTAGCTATGTCCCAGGCAATGGGATGAAAACATTTAACTTTTATCATTCAGTCTTCAGAGCAGTACTTGAATAGGTACTATCACGATCCCCATTTTACAAAGATTGAAAAACCAAGCCTCAGAAAGATTGAATCAGTGGCATGAAATCATGGACATAGTAAATGGCAGAAAAGGACTTGAACCTCAGTGGTTGGTGTCTAGACAGTTTCTGTAAGTGTGAAGGAGAAGTTGTTCTGATGAAAGAAGGCTTATAGATCACCCAGTCCAAAGTCATTTGGTATCCACACTTAGAGTGACCAGATTGGTTCAGCTGTGTGAATGGAGGCTCAGCATGGACTCAGCTCCAGTCTCTTGAGTCAGGTAGCAAATTCCAGCTACACAACCAACAGATGGCGAACTCAACCTAAAATTGCCAGTACTCCTGCAATTTGCCTAGAACTTTTCTCCTTCTACATCTAATAGCACAGAAACCTTGTTGATCTTATTTACTCCTTGATAGAGGTAAGGGAGTATATCAATGTCTGGGATAGAGCCTGGCACATAATAGGTGCTCAGTAAATATTTGTTGAATGAACAGGCATTCTTTCTCTGGAGTCAAAAGCCATATGGAAATTATGGAGTTCCTTTCAGATGGCATAAACAGAGATAACCAGCGATGGGTGGGAGCATGGGGAGTGAGGCTTGAAAGCCAGCCTGGGCTCTACTTTCTAAGCCATGTGCCCTGGTGCAGGGCTGCATCTGCGAGGAGAAGGGATGCCATTTTCAAATTCCCATGGACATGTGATATGGGCTAGAAGTGGCCCAGTCTGGGGAGAAGTTCTTGAGATATGCATCCCTGAAATTGAGTACAGGTTAAGTGCACTTTCAATACACAGAGAAGCCAAGATTTCCGTGTTTCTGCCACTGGCAACGCTTGACCCACCAAAGTTCCAATAGGACAAAGCCATGTTGTACCGATTCTCGTCTGCAGGGCACTGACTGCCTCACAACCCCCAGGACTTCCCTACCTCCCCATAGGGTGGTGGAAAGATCATAGACGCCCACAGCTTGAGGAATGTTCTTCTCAAATGTGTATTTTTTGAAGTCGTTTTCTTATTTGCCAACATCTCCTCCAACTTGGTAATTTCTAGAAGTCTTCTCTGGCTTGGTTTAATAAGTAAAGGTCTCACTGTTTTGAGATCGCTGGGAACTAGTTATTTTGAGCCTTATCAATATTTTCCATACAGTCATGTTTATATCACTTTGCATTACCTTACAGTGTTTCTTGATTGGGGTGTTGTTGATGTTTGGGGTAGGTCAGGTCTGCACTGGGGGACAGACTCCAGCACTACAGGACGTTAGTCCTCTTTGCCCTTTCCAACAAATACCAGTAAGGCCCCAAATCACTGCGACACCACAGATGCTCCCCATCATTTTTTAATGCCTCCGTGGGGACTGGTGCCACACCCAGAACAGTGTGCCTGGCTGTACCACAAATTACAGGTAAGTCAGACTTGAAAAGAGCCAGACCCCACAAGACACCATAGGCAAGGCACACAGAGGCAGAGTTGGTCCGCCCCCTTCCTCCTACACACCTTCCTCTTCCTCTTTATTCTTTGGACTCTGGAGTCTTTATCATGAAACGTGTCAAGCCCAGATCCGCACGGTTTCAGTGGGAAAACACCTTAGAGGGTGCGCGATGGGGGAGAGTGTGGGAAGCTCTTCAGAATTTGGGTTTCACTTATTTGATGTTCTGTTTGTTTTCATATGTGGCTTATGTTGTTTCCAGGCTCCAAATCGATCCATCTGTGCAACGATTATTGCATGCACCTAGCACAATGCTGGGAGCTGGACATGCCTTATCCTGTACCATCCTTATAACAGTTTTGCTCAACTTAAAATGTTTTTCACATTCCCATTCTCTAGATGAAGAAACCAAGGCTTTAAGAAGGTGTGAAACTTGCGTCTAGTCAACCTTCCAAGTCCAGTGTCTGTGTTCTGGTGTGAGAGTGGTGTCTTGCTATAAAACTATTGGAAAAGTCTTGAGGGAGGAAATGGGGGGGGGAGATAAGAAAAAGAGGTTTCCATTTAAAGCATGTACCAGTCTTATCCCCCTGGACACACCAAGTGGCATCATTAGTATCCAGCCTGTCACCACGAGCTGGAGTGTTAGCTCATCTCAGATCAGTGAAGGAAAAAGCCTTTGCAGGCAGTTTTATAATTGGCCCTGGGAAAAAGGGCGAAGTGACTGCTGATTCATTAATAAATCAGGATAGTGTGTGAGCACCAATTCCAGCCAGAGTGTCTGCTACTGCCTGGAGAAAAACCCAAGACTGGTATTTCTGGTGAGGAAGGAAGAGAGCAAACTGGCTGGCTGGTCCTAAGGAACCTGATACCACAGTTTTCCTGGCTCCAGTCTGGGGAAAAAGGCAGCAGAAGTGAGGCAGACATCATGATCCATTAACACCATTCATTCATTCACACATGCATTCATTTCGTGTATTTATGGAGTATCTGCCACCTGCCAGATTCTCTTCTAGGTGCTGAAGATACAGCAACAAACAACACCCACAAATACTCCTACCCTCATAGGGCTTATACTCTAAGGAGGGGGCACAGAGAGTAAGCATATTAATAAAACAGTATGTCACGTGAAGAGGAGTGCTCTGGGCAGAAAACAGCAAGGAAAGGGGAATGAATAGAGCTTGTGGGATTTTGATTTTAAACCTCTATCAGGGAAGGCCTCAGGAAGTGACATTTGAGCAAAGATCTAATAATAACATCATACTGAACACTGTTCCAAGCATTTTACAATCATCTCATTAATCCAGCAACCTCAGTAAATTATGGCTACGATTATTCCCATTTTACAGACAAAAAGACTGAAGTTAAGAGAGATGCAGTGATTTCCAGAGATCACACAGCTAGTCTGTGGTCGGAACTAGGGTTTGAACCCAGGCAGTCAGAAGGGAAGTGGCGGCACGCTTGAATGTTGATACGGAGAGGGGACAAACGGGGGTTGGGGAAGAGCGGTTGCGCGTGCAAATGAGGTCTTTGTGTGCACCCACGAAGCGAATACGGTGCCCCCCGTGGGCAGGTGTGGGCGGACTTGAATGGGGGAAGGGGGCGGTGACTCTCAATCTTCCCTGAGCTGCATCCGACTCTCTCGGTCTGCGATTGGGGAGGTAGATCGCTGCCAGGGGTTGTCCCGGGACAGTGCCGGGCGGAACCTTACTCGCTGCCACCCGCGGGCCAGCTGCTCCAGTCAATAAGGCAGGGCCTCGTGGGCGCTCGCCGCCCTCCTGGTGGGGTTCGCCCGGGAGTTCCTACCTGGGCTGAAAGGGGTCGCGGAGCCGAGCTCTGGGAGGACAGACTGGAACACCAGCAGCCGAGGCGCGTGGTTTGGGAGGCGGACGCGCTAAGGGCGCACGGTGTGGCCAGTGCATTACCGAGAGCGCCCTCGGCGCGGGACTGAGCGATGGAGGGGAGCCTGGGAGCCCTTGGGGGATGCCAAGAAAGGCGGAGATAGGGTCTGCGCGCAGCAAATGAGGGAAGAACTACGACATGCTGGGGCAGAAAGAGTAAAAGGCCAGGGCTCACGTTGCAGGTGAGAGGGGCAAAAGGGGCACTCCAGAAAAGCCTGGAGAGCGAGAGGGTGCGCTGGAAAGAGGGGGCCTAGGGGGTGCCAGAGAGTGCCAAGGAGAGGGAGCTGGCGTAGAAAGAGTAAGAAGGAGCTGTTGCCCCGGAGAGGGGGTGCCTAAGAAGGCATGGGACCAGGATCAAGGAGAGGGCGTCGGAAATCGCTTGGGGACCCCCAGGAAGTGGCCGGGGCGAAGCGCTGGGCTCAGTAGAGCAAAGACTGCATGCTAAAAGAGTGCCACACGCTGGAGAGGGGGAGCCCCGGCGGGGCACAGAGGGGGGCCCTAGAACCCGTGCACTTAGAGAACGGGCCGTGCTTTTTGCCTGCAAGGGTGGCACACTTTGAGGTTCTAGAAAAGCAGGTTGAGAAGAACCCGACCGGTGCCTACGAATGTCAGAGGAGGCAGGCAGGGAAAGAAGCCGCAGAGTCCACGGAAGAACTCCCCGGGTTGGACAGAGTGCACGATGGGCGATGGAAGGAGGTGGAAAGCCGCCCTGGGAGAGGTTGGATCAGGGCTCTGAGCGCTACAAGCAGCACAGAGGAAGCGCCGGTGGTTGAGGGCACAGTGCTGAGAGCCTGAGAAAAGTGAGGAGGAGGCGCAAAGGACCGAAAAGCCGGGATGTGCCGGGCAGTGCGTAAGGGAGCGATGGAGAGCGCGCTGGGTGCCCAGCACTCTGGCAACGCCTCCCAGGTCTTCCCTCCCTGGCGGCTCCAGGTCCTCATTCACTCACCATGATGGAGAAGACGAAAGCCACGATGTTGATGGGGTACGCGGGGCAAAAACACGAGACGATGGCGAGCCACAAGTAGTTCTTGGGCATGGGCACGTCCTCCTCGGTCTTGTCATCCTCGGTGTTGGCCTCCGGACTGCTGTCCAGAGCCCTCTTGAAGTCCGAGCTGGGGTCGCACTGAGACATGGGCGAGGCCGGCGGGGCAGGGTGGGTGGAGGAGCGCAGGGTCCGCGCGGTCGGAGACTGAGGCCAACTGCTCGCGGCGAGGCTCTGAAAAGTCAGCGGCGCGGGACTCAAGGGAGACGTGACCTCACCTCTCCTGCATCCTCCGCTTGCACCATCCCCGGCTGAGGGACCTGGGCCAAGAGCCTCCACACAAGAGGGAGGGAGGGAACGAGGGAGTGAGGGGAGGTGGCAGGGAGGAGGAGGGAGCCGTAAGAAACGGGACAGGCACTCCTGGAAGGACACACCCAGAGACCATCAGACAGGTGCGCAGACTCCAAGTCCGAAATAAAAGGAGGCTCAGGGCAGGGGAGAGTGAAGGTTCTTTACGTTGCAAACTGGCCAGCCTGCGGTCTCAAGATGACCAGCTCATCTTTTCAAGCGGCTGAATTTGAATACATTCCCTCCTGTAACAGAAGGCAACCCAACTCTGTGCAGGTGGCCACAGACTGACTACTTCCCTTTGACTAACAGTTTGCTTTTTCCTGATCCGATCCCTTCTCAGACTTGGAACATGGAGCCCCAGTAATTTCTCTTCCCCGACAGGTGGGCAGGGAGCAAGGTGCTCAGCATTGGGCCCAACCCTTTGGGCACTGCACAGGGGTCCTCTGGAGAGCAAGCCTGAGTATAGCCAGCCAGTAGGGGCCAGTCTGGGTGCCATCCACTTTTTCCCAAGGGTACAAACAAGGAACCCTCTCCTCTCCACATTTCTACCTAGAGGGCCCCTGGAGGGAGAAGCAGGTACATCTGGCTGCTGTAGACAACCCAGGTGGATAATTGGGATGGGAAGAAGACAGAGGGGTCTACTTTGGCAACCAGCATGAGGTGAGCAATTGCATCATTATCTAAGCAATTCATGAGAGGGGGTTATGGACCAGAACTGAGGCTCCAAACCCAGACAGAGATGGGAAATTGTCACATTTGAGTTGAATGACCTCAGGAAAGTCCCTTCACCTCACGGAGCTCCAGTTCCTTCATCTGAAAAAAGTGGATAATAGGAATCCCTTCCTTATAGGGATGTTGTGAACACTATAAAATTGCAGCTCAAAGCAGGTGAATCTAAGTGCTCTGTACATGTTAGTTTTTTTTATTAGGAAGCTATTCCCCCCCAGATACAGTCATTATGCAGTATCTCAGACCCAATATCCCTTGGTGCGTATATGTCACCCAAAATCCAGATATTGGGAGCTGGCAGGGCCACAGAGAAATATAAGTAATTTTATTATGCATAGTTTCAAAAATAGTTGCTCACATCACAATGCAGCAAAAGTATTAAGCATCTGCTTGACTTTCTCAGAACATGAACCGATTATCTGGGATGCTCTCACTTCTCAAGGGGCCATACTTATTCTGATATCTGCCTCCCTCATTGGACTGCAGACTCTCTGAGAAAGGGGACCATCTTGCTCATCTTTGTATCAGCACCTGGCACAGTGCCCAGGACAAGGTCTGTGCTTAGTATGTGAACACATAAAGATGAAATAATGCTTTCTCCCCCATTTTGGTTGGTTAATCAAGTGGGAATAAAACAAAGAATCAGATCTATCGAGTTCTCAACCAAGTCTTTGCTTTGGTTGTTTTCTCTGCCTGGGATGCTGTTCTCTTGGACTGCCCCAGGGCTGTTCCTTCTTATTTCTCAGCTGTCAACTTAGTCACTTCCTCGGAGATCTTCTCTTTATATTATTTAGTGTAGATCCCCATAGTAATTACATTTCAGCAGCTTTTTATTTATTATTTTTTAAAATTAACATGTAATGTATTATTTGTTTCAGAGGTACAGGTCTGTGATTCATCAGTCTTACACAATTCACAGTGCTCACCGTAGCACATACCCTCCCCAGTGTCCATCACCTAGCCCTCCCATCCCTCCCACCCCCTACCACTCCAGCAACCCTCAGTTTATTTCCTGAGATTAAGAGTCTCTTATGGTTTGTCTCCCTCTCTGGTTTTGTCTTGTTTCATTTTTCCCTCCCTTCCCCTATGATCCTCTGTCTTGTTTCTCAAATTCCTCGTATCAGTGAGATCATATGATAATTATCTTATTGACTTATTTCATTTAGCATAATATCTTCTAGTTCCATCCACGTTGTTGCAAATGGCAAGATTTCATTTTTTGATGGCTGTGTAATATTCCATTGTGTATATATACCACATCTTCTTTATCCATTCATCTGTTGATGGACATCTAGGCTCTTTCCATAGTTTGGCTATTGTGGACATTGCTGCTATAAACATTGGGGTGCACGTGCCCCTTTGGATCACTACATTTGTATCTTTGGGGT